CCTGACAAAACGACACAATTTCACATTTTAACAGACGTCACTCACAGACACTGATGTCTGATGCACATCATCGACTGTAGCTAACAAGCTTTAGATTATGAGGATGACTTTATTTATAGTAAACAAAAACAAATGAATGTAAAGTTGTGACTAAAGCAATTTAGTAAATAATTAGGGTCAGAGGAACCTGCAGGATCGCGTGTTTGTTTTTCAGATGACGATCATGTTGTCACATGTACCTGCGACTGATCGCTGGACGTCTCCATCTTCTCCTGAGATTTTTCTCTGGCCAGTTTCGCAGCTTCTTTGACCTCCTGGAACTTCTCAGCAAACTGAGGTAAAACACAGAAAAAACACGGATCAGGACAGGAAAAAAAACACGGATTGGGACTTTTACACCTCTGATTGTCAAAAGGCTTATGAAATGAACATAACAACCTTCATAAAGGTGTTTTGCTTCTACAGTTACATCAGAAACACGTGCTGCGACCGTTTCAGATCAATATAAAACATCAAAAACAGCCACATCAAGTGTGCATGCATGCGTGACGGCCTGTGTGTGTGTGTGACGTGTGTGTGTGTGTGACGGCCTGTGTGTGTGTGACGTGTGTGTGTGTGTGTGCATGCATGCGTGACGGCCTGTATTTGTGTGTGTGATCAGATGTGTGTGTGATGTGTGTGTGTGTGATGTGTTTGTGTGTGTGTGTGTGTGACGGCCTGTGTGTGTGTGATGTGTGTGTGTGTGATGTGTTTGTGTGTGTGTGTGTGTGACGGCCTGTGTGTGTGTGACGTGTGTGTGTGTGTGTGCATGCATGCGTGACGGCCTGTATTTGTGTGTGTGATCAGATGTGTGTGTGATGTGTGTGTGTGTGTGTGATGTGTGTGTGTGTGTGTGATGTGTTTGTGTGTGTGACGGCCTGTGTATTTGTGTGTGTGCATGCCTGTGTGACGGCCTGTGTGTGTGTGTTATGTGTTTGTGTGTGTGATGTGTGTGTGTGTGTGTGTGTGAGAGTGTGTGTGTGTGTGAGAGTGTGTGTGTGTGAGAGAGCACTCAGACTGTGGATCACAGCATCAGCAGACCCTCTTACACTGACTCCAGATCTGGAAGGCATGAGCTCTGGTGGTGAAGATCGGCTGCTCCCTGCGACACACACACACACACACACACACACACATCACATGATGATCAGCTCAGGTCACCACACACTGCAGTCACACTCATATGTGTGTGAAATCATCAACTTCAGCTTGATATTAATATTTAGAACATTATCAGTACTTGTTCATTTATTTCACAGTTTGCACTCATATGAGAATAAAGCAGACATCATCTGCCAGAGCGTCTGAAGATCAGTGATGACCTACAGCTGTCAACATCAGCTCATGCTAACGATGCCTGACTGAGACAACGACCAATTATACAGTTGACAGTCATTAGACACTGACCGATTACAATCAGTTATTACAGTGATAATGGGCAAACAAGCCTAAATAAAAGGCAGATCCTCATCCGACTGAAGACCATTCACTCTACAATTACAGACTTAATTTATTTCTAAACATCTGATAATGAACACGAAGGTCTTTTCACTGAGTGCCAAAAAAATCTCATCAGAAAAAGTGCTTCACGATGAAACCGATACGAATGCGAGTTGAGCTAAAGTGAAGCCCACATTCAGGGAAACAAATCTAAACTTATGAAGCTGCTTCTGCTCAGCGACTTTATATATTTGTGTTTTACCATGATTTACCATGAAGTCCAAAGGAATTACAGATACCAGCTGCACTTCACAATGCCAGACACATATTATTCATATAATGGCTGTAAATTATTTATAATTTGATTTGCCCTAATTATAATTTTTTCCTCTTTTAAATGTTCCTTTCCAAATTTCTTCCGCTTTTACACATTTGGAAGGCTATTCATCCACTCTCAAACCCCCTGTAGTTCATTCATGAAGTTCAGTTTGGGAAACCCAGGCTTAATGTAATGTTTAATACACATCATGATGTTGATAAAGAATGGAATATATTTTAGGTCAAAAGTAATTTTTAAAAAAGTAATCAAAAATTATTCAGAATACATTACCTGCTATGTGTAATCCAACAGATTACGGTACGAACTATAATTTCTATCATGACAGCTCTCGGAGGGATTGGCATGGTAATGTACACGACAATGTTAATGTGTTTGGTCTTGGTGGAATAGATCTGCTGCTGCCAATACATCCACAACATGCTGCTGTGAGCATGAAAGAAATACTGCTGCTGCACAAATAACATGAAATAACCCCCATATAGCATACATGAATCACCTCGTAGCAGATCTATACAGGTGGAGCTGGGGAAGGTGGAGGGTTTCTGAAGCACGCTGCAGCTAAATATATAAATGTACAGCAGCGAGCTCATTGGCTGCTGATACAAAGATAACCAATCAGCTGCACCATGAGATGATGATGTCATTATGTCAGATTGAGTTTAACCTATCGGACTGCATCATCTAGAGTTTCATGCCAGAACTTTGGATTTCTGTCATGTAATTTATAATCAGTAATTGATTACAATTTGTAAGTAACCTACCCAGCACTGTAAGTAATGCATGTCAAAAAATAAAACACAGGGTAAATAAAATATGACATCACTACTTTTCAAAAATAATTTAAACAAATAACGGGCTCACAATGTGAAAAGTTTAGGATTTTAAAGTAAACTTAATTACAGCAGAGGTTTGAGGAATAACTGTGTGTGTGTGAAAGAGTGCATCAGTTCAGCTCATTAAAGCCGTCCTCATTAACTCTGATCTGATTTAGATTTGACACAGACGTCACGTGATTTCTGATGACGACCTCAAACATCATCTGAATGCATCATCGGCCCGCAGGCTGACGTCATGTTCACGTCGCATCTGAACGCTCACGAGCGGTGTGCGGAAACATCGTTAATGTGAGGTCGATTAGCAGCGCTTCAGGAGGACCGTCTCTGTTCATTCATGAGTGAAGCCTCTGAACGCTACGAGCGATTAACGGTGTTTCAGGAGGACCGGTCACGTGAATGATGAGATGACACGACTCCAAACGCCTTTTATTTTGCTGAAGGTAAGTGTGGCAGAGTACAGAACGCAGAAAGATACAGGACCGTCCTGTCGAGCGTAGAGCGCTTCCCCAGATCTCAAAATAACCTGACAATGACGAGACGCGCGTGTGATTCACACATCACCACAGAGAAGCATCCAGAACTTTCCCTGTTCTCAGCCGAGCCACGGCAGGAATGCAGCTCTACCTGCACACACACACCCACAGAGCCACACCTGAACTCTGATTGGAGCAGACCGTGGAGTGGGAGGGGCTCTGACCGGACACACATTCCTGCAGGTCAAACACCAAATCACTGAACGACCAGAGCCACAATCACACAGAAACTCAGGACACAAGACTCCCGCGACGTCAAACCGGCCGCTCAGGAGGTCAAGCTCAATCAAAGCTGGAAAGTTGTGCCATTTTTAATCAAGTCACATTTATTTCATACATAATACAGATTGTTTCAAAGCAGCTTCACAGTGATAAACAGGGAATAATGATTCAATGATCCAAACAGAATTCAATTCTGCTGTGACTTCAGCAGCGGCCGCACAAACACAGTCCTGATCAATATCTGTCTGTTATTTTCCCAGAACAGATCAGACTGGACAAAGTCAATCAGTACAATGATGATTAAAGTAATTGTTCTGTCATTTACTCCAATAACACTGCAGCCCACTGATGACAGATTGATCAATTTCATTTCATATCAACGTTTAATTCCTTTAATACCTAAATATAATCGGAGTCATTTGTTTCTCCCAATCATAGCTGTGGTTTATTCTACCAATATGTGCTCTTTTACCAAGCATTCAGAGCGTTTGTGGCGTAAGACGACACGTCTGACCACATTTTTGGATAACTAGCTCAGAGCCTTCAACAATAACTCTCACTGTCTTTCAGGCCATGACGGCAGATCTGGACTGATCAGCACTACTGAGGGCTCGTGATGCAGATCTGGATTGATCGGCACTACTGAGGGCTCGTGATGCAGATCTGGACTGATCAGCACTACTGAGGGCTCGTGATGCAGATCTGGATTGATCGGCACTACTGAGGGCTCGTGATGCAGATCTGGACTGATCAGCACTACTGAGGGCTCGTGATGCAGATCTGGACTGATCGGCACTAGAGGGCTCGTGATGCAGATCTGGACTGATCGGCACTACTGAGGGCTCGTGATGCAGATCTGGATTGATCGGCACTACTGAGGGCTCATGATGCAGATCTGGATTGATCAGCACTACTGAGGGCTCATGATGCAGATCTGGACTGATCAGCACTACTGAGGGCTCATGATGCTGCTGTAAGTCACTGGCTTCGGCTCCGGGGCAGCAGCAGATGGTTGAGACTGACACCATCTGTGACGAGGCTTCAATCCCCACTGGAGAGCGTCATTTACCAGCCGTTAGGGAACATGTGGGGTCTACGGTGTCCAGAACACACACACACGCGCGGTCAGCAGCTTGACAATGTGTCAGATCAGCATCGGTGAACTTGTTCCATTCATGTAACTGGAGCCATCGGCGCTGTGGTTTAAATAGACTGTCCAGTCCAGCACCTCATTCAGCCGAGCTACGGCTCATCTGCTGCGGTTCAGGCTTTAATCCCAGCGCTTTATCACCAAACAGCAGATAGAGGCCGTTCCTTGCGGTCACAGGTTTGTGTGGAGAATGAGGTTAATCTATAACCCCGTCACTGAGAGAGCCTCCAGCTGAAAACTGAGTCACAATCGATCAACATCACATCGTTAAAAAACACCCACAGTGTGGAAAACCTGAGCCAGCCTTTACTAATCCAGACTTAGTGTCTGATGTGATAATTCATTTCAATTAGCTTTATTGGCATGACAAAAGCACATTTTGCATTGCCAAAGCAGGCATAGGAAAAGAGAACATACACAACAGTGTAATTTGGAACGTGATGTAGATGTTGAAGAGGGTGGGGCTTAAACTGCAGCCCTGTCTCACTCCACACCTCTGAAGAAAAAATTCAGTTCTTTTGTTTCCAATTTTGATAAAATCATAGAATTTACCTCCTATTCCGCTGTCGATAAGTTTTAGTAATAATCCTTCATGCCAGATTGAGTCGAATGCTTTCTTGAAATCAATAAAACATGCTCTCTCTCACACACACACACACACACACACACACACACACAGAGAAACAGCAACAGCGCGTCGTCGCTTTTTATCCAGCCTGATCTATACATTCACTCGTAGATAACTGGACAAAGTGATAAACTGCGGTTAGTTTTGTTTTCTAGTCATAGTAAAGTTTACCGTACTCACATTTCTGCAGAATCCCAAACGTTCCGCGGCTCCAGAGCTGCAACTGATCCAAATCCTCTACATTATTAATTAAACCAGCAACCAGCCGTAAAACAAAAGCCGCTGGTCAGTGAAAAACACACAAATGACATGCAAAATAATTTTGGTGTAAGTGGACAATAAAAAACGGAAAAGAAAAAAAAATTCGCAATGAGAAACTCACACAATGATATAAGATGTATAAAAACGCGTGGATTGCGAAGCGTGTGAACGGAAGGGGAACTCAGTTTGCCGGAACCTTCGGTAAAACCGCGACGGAGTGAAATAAGAGCTGCACGTCACGCGTCGCGTCGCGGTGGTGTTCCGCTGTAATCAGTTTTAACGCTGTTGTGTCACTCACGCGGAGACGCTCTGCAAAACCTCTAGGCACCTGTTTCCGTCACGAGCGCCATGTCTTGCGCCGCTGACTGTGACGCTCAGTTCGCGTCGCGTTTCTCCAGCGGTACCGGACGCGCCGCCCGTGCTCGAGGACTGGAGAGCGCGCAGAGACCGGCGGTGAGTGCGTCATCAATACATCATCAATGCATAGAGAGAGGTGTGTGACTGCTGCTGGATGAACGTGTGTGTTTGTTTGTTTCCCGGTAGAGCTCCGGAGCACCGGCAGCACGAGCATCGCTTCCCTGAGCGCCGCCAGGACCGGAACTCCGGCGCTTACAGCCAGCGATCACGATTCTGACACAGAACCAGACCTCCAGCGATGCCTGCCGGATCACTTCTGATCTAGTGGAGTTACACTGGCTTCTGTGTAAATAAAGCAGTTCAAATGAGCTTCTGCCTCGTGTGTGTGTGTGTGTGTGTGTGTGCGAGTGTGCGAGAGGGTGAGTATGAGTGC